GGAGGCGGGTCACACCTAGCCTCCAATTGTTTTACTACTGAATTTTTTTAGCAGTACGAGAACAAAGCCTTAAACTGCTCACAAATGAAGGGCAGGTATTGCTGACGAAGCTATAGCTGAAGCACTAAAAAAAAAACGCGGAGAATAAGGTGGTGTACGCATGTTCATGTAGAGTTGAAAGTATACTTTAGTGCCCTTCAGTGTGTCTGTTATGCTGATTGTGGAATGCATCGATTTTATTTAAGCCTCATGCCACATCTTCGGATTGTTTCAAAGCCTTTTTCCACGACTGTCTAACTATAGAGCAAAAATACAGAAGGGAATGCAGAACAACGTTACAGTGTTTCCAACATCCTTTTCAAGTCCTGCTGGACCTCGCACACAACGTGCACTTACTACATCCCATTCACATGTGCGAAGTACATGTATTATTGGCACTGGCATATAAACAGTATTTACATGTATGTTTTAATTTTCAGCTCCCTGACCTTGTGGAGAATAATCCGTTACTTGCCATTGAAGTTTTGCTGAAGTTGATGCAGTCAAATCAGATAACAGAGTGAGTAGTAATCAGATTCAGACTTCTCCGAAGTCAACCTTCTTCTCCGAAGTCAGTCAAGTTAGGAGAATATAGCACATTATCTCTTTAGAAGAAAGTCTTTAAAAGAAGGTCCGCCATGGAGAATAAAAGATAATGCATGTATGCAAAGCAGTTGGGTGAATTTCAGTTATCTGTCATCAGCCAACTGATTACAGACAAGTAGAAACTCTTTAAGCTACTTTGGCTACTGATCACTGACTAGTGTTTCGATGTAAAGATGGAAAGCAAACCCAGAACTATAAACTTTGAGGGTTTGCCTTCCGAGAGCTGATTAGCCAGCATAAAAGCCTGGGTCCGGTTGTTCGAAAGCCGATTAACGCTAATCCAGGATTAAAAGTTAATCAGAGTTCTAATTTCTCTTGAATAAAATTGTTTTCACTGTCCATGTTTCCTGGAGTTTGACATTATTCAAAGCCAAAATTGAAGGACAAAAAATCTAAACATAAACCTTCACTGAAAAGTTACAAAATTGAAATAAACATTTACGCTAATCCTGGATTAGCTTAATAGTGCTTTCAACAACCCGGCCCTGGTCACTGATGGAGTACACATAATGCCTTATGGAAGATAAAATATCGTAATCGTCCACTCGCCAATGGGGTTTTTCACAGCCAAAGGAAACAAACAGTGAAACAAATATAGCCAATAAACACAATGTCGTTAAAAGTCCCAACTGGTCAGAGGGATACCAGTTGGCTATTTACAAACCGTAACGGAGGAATTGAACGCGGGGCCACCGAGGGACCACCGAGGACTCACACCGTTTTCCACCGTTTTATGGAAATCGGTCAGATTTTTCAGAATTACTGAGAAGCCCCCAAAAGGGGACTTTAGCGACTAAAAAATCCAGAACTTTTCCTAAGGGAGCATGGCCCTGGACCCCTCTAGAAGGCACGAGTTTGTTGTTTCGGAAATCAGTCACAAGTCGTCCCAGATCTACGCCTGCAGCTAGTGGCAAGGGTGGACGGCTTGGACTCGGGACCTCCGGATCTAAACCATTCGGCCACGCTGCCTCTAATATGTGGAAAATGAGAAAGTAATTTTGAGTCCTGGCCCGGGTTGTTCGAAAGGTAGATTACACTATCCACCGGATAAATCACTATCCAGTGGATAGCGTGGTCTGTTTTTTCAACTTAAATCCACCGGGCTCTGTTCGGAACGTGCCTTTTGGATTTGTTTACCTGTCAATGATGTATTTTCTTGTCATCTGGCAGGTATTTTTCGGTCTTAGTAAACATGGAAATGTCACTGCATTCTATGGAGGTTGTCAACAGGCTAACAACGGTAAGTTTTATAGAAATGCGGTGCTGTGAATGATAATGTACCTTGAAGGCTTTTGTGTCTTGCATATTAACAAGTAACTGAGAACATGTAATCTTCGAAATGGGCTTACAAAATCACGAAAACTTATAGATCTACTTTCCTTCTTGCGACTATTTAGGCGCACCAATACGTTCTGTTTTGACCAGTTTGAGTGCGAGAAAGCCAATCAGATACAAGTGAATGGATATCAACTAAGTGCGATCAGTGAGCCAATCAAACTCAAGTGTTTGGAATTTTGGAAATTGTTATGAAGCCAATCAAATATAGGTGTAAGGGAAGCCAACTAAAACTATGTGCGATGTGATTTGCTTGTGCAAAAGGAAATATTAATTTAAAAAATCTGGCTGGTCACTTATTTGAGATCGACGACCACGAAATGTATAACAAACTAAAACTAATGTTTCTTTGTTTTAGGCTGTAGATCTTCCGCAGGAGTTCGTTCATCTTTACATCTCAAACTGTATCTCGACCTGTGAAAATATCAAAGACAAATACATGCAGAACAGACTTGTCAGACTGGTACGAGCTACTGTTACTTAACTGGGTAGAAATAATTATATGGTTCAGCTATGTATTTCATTAAAGGACCTCCTGTTGAAAATGATTGAACATGGAAAGCAGTCTCAAAAAAAGAAATGCTGCAAGAGTGTATTTGGTAACAAATCACAGTAATGACTGTCCAACGTGAAAGTATGGGCGTCATGTTTATGCGCATTGTTATTTCTGCTTCCAATCTCGTGAAGGGTAGTTAGACTTACTACGCACCAATGCCTTGGCATTTATCGGCAAGTACTGTTCCGTGGGGGAAGGGGCGGGGGGGGGGGGNTACATTAATTTGCCTTTCTTCAAGGTAACATACACTTAATGTGGAAGTTTCTTGAAGGTGTGGTGGTCAAATATGTGTGATTCTAGATCAAGAGGTCCAGGTCTAGGGTGAACCTGTGGCTAAGGCAAGACACTTCACTCTCACAGGGCATCTCTCTTTCCTGGAGTATAGATGGGTTGCAGAGACCTGTTAGGATCACAATTTAATGCTAGGGAGTACTAACCTCTGATGGACAAGCATCCCATTCAGGGGAGTACATCTAGGAGTGATACTATTAATCGCTACATGCTACAGACACAAGAGTTACACTTCGAGAGCTATAAGCCAGTTGAGCTTAAGAGGCTTTACTTTTTACTACTCAGTACTATTCTTCAAATTCAAAGCTAACTTAAATTAAATAAAACGCTAAGGTCCATGTGATATTGATTATTCCTCGATTTAGGTGCCAGTGTAGAATTGTGGCTCGTGTAATTACGATTCTTCGCGTTTCGCTTTTCAAATTTCTATTTCTGGGACCTTTTAGTTTAGCCTTAAAAAAAACGTATTTGGTTTCTGCGTTAAAAAAAATCTTCATGCAAGTGTTATGGAACAAGGATTTTTTTCTATTTTGTCGCTATCCAGACTGACATGTTATTTGTTGATCTTTAGGTCTGTGTTTTTCTTCAATCTCTCATTCGTAACAAAATTATAGATGTTAAGGTAGGTATATATTATGGAAGCTAACAGTAGTTCAGTTCTTTTGTTATTCATTAGTGGTTTAATTGGCATATGTTCATTTTTAGCGTAAATCTACAAGCGTTCTATTACGAATGCTCCTTCACGTCATCGGTGATCAATTACTGGGTACGGAATCTATTTGTTAAGTAGATAGCGAGTAGCCTTGCAGTGTGCGGTTGGTAACAAAATGGCGGCCGCTTCTTTGCGTTTCAGAAGTGTCTGTAAAGAGGATTTAGATAAAGTTTTGAACGACTGGAAGATTTATACGAAAACGATTATTCACGATCGATTTCTATGCGTCATAGTTGTTGACTCGGGTTGCACCCCCGCCAACGTTCACGCGATAATCCCATTCAAGCGAGGTTCCGATTGTTTACCAAAGTTTCACGCAGAACTTAAGTGGCACATATTGTCCAATAATTGGAAACGAAACTTAGCGGGATTGCCAAACTGCACTTGACCCATAGACTTTCCCGGTTTGGCAATCGTGAGAATTTTCATGATCCAATTATAGTCGTGTAGTTGGGTTCCAAAAACATCGAGAATTAAAAGGGACCTTGGCAGACGACTAATAAAATACTTAAATAGTTTCTAAATAAGACAGCAGGTATGAAAATACGTGCTTGAGTAAAGTAAATAATTGGATACTTGATTCAATGGGATTTAAGGCGTGCAATAAATTCCTGCTGAGTGCTAATCCTATAGTAAAATCTGCTCAAGGCAAAGAGAAATCTTGGCAATGAGTTTTAAGCCCAGCACTTTCAAAGTGACGTTCCCTATTCACCGATTGAACCTCGATGGTCGAGGCAGTGAAGCTGGAAATGTACAGCCTTACTGCTAATCGCGCGCAACACGTGTCCGTATTGTTCTGCTTGTGGTTTAAAAAGAGCGCAAGATCAACGTGATAAGACTCACGTTGCCTTTCTTGACTTGCGCTATTTTAGCGCTAGATGAACACGATGAGGTTCACACTCCGGTGCTTGACTCCCGCTACACCCAAAACCCTCAAAACCACTGCAGTGAGTGATAGTTTTTTGATTTGTTCCAGGACCTTTTTATTGAAGTTCAAGCGTTCTGTATTGAGTTCAGCCGGATACGAGAAGCAGCTGGCTTGTTCCGACTCCTTAAGACGCTGGACAGCGGAGAGGCGAGTCCCGCGGCTATCAAGTAAACGGAGTCACGCTGAGAAGAAACTATCCACATGGGAGACGTCCTTCAATTGAAAACAAGAGTAGACGATTTGCCCGGTGCTAATTGACATTTTTTGAAAAATGCTTCGAGAAGCTACTTCATCACACAACAGATGCAGCGGTTCCGTGCTTTAGTGTCACTTACATACTAAGTCAAGAGTGAATGAAGGGTAAGGGAGATAATCCTTGGGATAATCTCCCTCATTGGCCTTATTCCCAAGGTAATCCCTCTCAAGTCATTTGTAGATCACTTCCGGTTTCTAAAATCTCAGGAGGGTCTAGAAATAGACAATGTGACAGAAATTGTGGTCACGTGGACATCCTAAGTGGCTTTACTCCCATTTTACCCTTCACGAAAACATCCACGCAACATCCGTGGTGACATTATTCGCGGTAGAAGTGGCTAACATCTCTAAAGATTACTGAGGAATAAGGTCCATATGAGGGATTTTAAAACTCTCTTTTCCTCATACTCTCTTGACAGACTGGTTTAAAACACGGCGGAGAATAATGGAAAATGTTAGAAAGCACTCTAGTAGCAGACTTGTTTTCTACGTTTGGAAATAATCAGCGTATCTTACTCGGCGTATCTAATCGAACAAAATCGAACCAAAATTCAATCGCACCCAATCGAACACCAATCGCTCGATTGAATTCGGCAATCGAACAAAATCGAACATCTCTTTTGCTGTGAGTTCGATTATCGAACCAATGGAACAAAATCGAACGCAACCGAACTCAATCGGATTCGATTTTGTTGGGAATCCATTTCTAATTATAAGTAAATCGCGCAGGAGTAATCATAATCAACCTTTATTGAATGGGATTAAAAGAAAAACGTTTAAGTATCAAACTGAATGTCAGTGTTCGGTTATGCACTGTACAAGAAAACAAGGGTACGACTGTGGACCGTTCGGTAATCGAACGGTCGATTTTGTTCGATTGTCGACCGTTCGATTTTGTTCGATTGACCAAATTTTAGTGTGAGTTCGATTATGTTCGATCGAACACCAATCGTTCGATTGGGTTCGATTACCGAGCGTTCGATTAGGTACGGCGGGATCTTATTAGAGCATAGCACACGACGCTGGTTTCTCTGCATGCTTTATGACACAGATCTGTACACGTGAAACAATAAAACATGGTTTTCCGTGTCTAATACCCTGATAAGAGCTTAAAGAAAAATTGTGACGGCGGCTAACATATCTCGTTTTATTTTTTCGAAGAGGGCGCGGTATCTAATCTTGAAATCTGATTGGTTCTTATTGCGGTCCGGATTTCTCTATCTCTAGCCGCGGTCAGGGTAACGCTCCCGTGAGGTTTCGTCCTTTTTGTTTTAAGAGAGAGAAAGAGGAAAAAATAAATACGGTATTTGCTCAAGGTAAGTCAGTGAAAAAACTGTGACCTCGGACGCGTTTAAGACCTCGGTCACAGATTTACACGATACAGACCTCCCAGCCGGCAAATAACATATATTTATTATATGGCTTTGGCTTGTGGCCGATATAACGCGCGCTCTGATTGGTTAATTGTCACTGAATTGTAGGGCATTATTCTCCCGTAATGCCC